CCCCCCCCCCCCCCCCCCCGCCTTCCTCCTCGGCCCTTCGACGGAAATAACACGTATAGCATCTACCCAAACGAGTCATGGCGACGGGACCGAAACTCGTCAACTCGTTTCATCACGAAGCTGATCATTTTCATCTTGCTCGTCGATGTCCTAGCCCTTGGCTGCATCGACGAGTGCGGGCCGCATCTACGCCTCAATCTGTACTGACACGCTGCCATGTTTGCCATCGCCACCACGGGAATTCTTTCTCGAATGACGCCCTCTGGAATGATCTACTGCTCATCAGTAATTCCGCCCGGTATTCTTCCGTCTCCCCACCTGATTCTTCAACGACCTTCGTTGCGGCGCCTGCAGGTAGAGTACGCGGTCGCAGATACGAAGATGGGGGCGGAGGATGAGTATGCACTAATCAACCTCGACCGTGCCGCCATGCTGACAAGATAATCGTAGGGGTTCGGGATTGACCTTCTCTCTCGGTCGGTATCTTGAGCATCCTTCAGATCGTTCCCCCTTTACCACAGACAACATGCCCCGTCAGCTGACTAGGAATGTACACTTGAACCGAACGGACCCTATCGGCACGGGGGACACTGCTGGTGGCGAAACGCCATACCCATGGAATCATTCGTCTTTCACCATGCTGCTCCCGATGTGTACATAACTAGATGATATGTGAGGGGCAATGCTCATATAGAAACTGTATCTACCAAAACCTCTCTTTTACCTCTACCTCTGCTTTCCCGCGATGTCGAACTTCTTGCTCAGCGACAGATCCCTACTACTCGATCCGACAAACACCTCGTACTCACCCTCCTGTACCGTCCACTTCTGCTCCGAAACGTCCCAGACTGCAAGATCGAGTCTGTTCAGGGTCAAGTGCACTGTCGTCTTGGCGCCAGGCTTCAGCCAGACCTTTTCGAAGCCACGAAGCTGTCGCGGCGGAGAGTCGGGAATCGACACGTACAGCTGGACGACTTCATACCCCGAACGGGGCCCCTTGTTGGTTACTGTGGCTGAAACGACGGCGCCAGCAGCCCACTTGGCCTCTTCGTCGTCGAGAGACCCAGCCGAGAGTTTCTTCAACGACAAGCCGAGGCCAGAGTACCCAAACGTTGTGTAGCTGAGGCCGAAGCCAAACTCGAAACGGGGCTGAATACCCTTGGCGTCAAAGGCACGATAATCGATATAGGACCCCTCGTCAAAGTCGCACTGCGGGTCGCTCGCATTGGGCGGCCCCCTACCGCACGGTTCGAGGACCTGCCCATAGTCGCTCTCGTTGCGGGCTACGGTGTAGGGGAGTCGGCCGGAGAACTCGGCCTCGCCGTACAGGAGCTTGACCAGGGCCGGGCCCGAGTCCTGCCCTGGAAGGTGGGCGATGATGGTGGCCGTGACGTTTGGGTGCTCTATCCACTGGTCGACGAGGCGAGCGCCGGCAGCGTGGATGACAACGACCGTGTTGGCGCACTTGGAGGCCACGTTCAAGATCAGTCCGTCGCTGAAATCGTCGTGCAGACCGTCCCGGTCCCAGCCTTCGGTAGCGATGGCATTGATGAATACGAGGCAGACATCCGACGCGCCGTTGACGTCTGGGTCGCCCGATTCGACGTCCCAGTTGACCCAGGCTCCCGTCTCGGAAGCCTTGTACTGGATTGCGCTCAGGGGCTGGTGAGGTCGTCAGCGACGTTTGCCCTCCATCCTGAAGGGGGGAGGGGGTGGGAATCTCTTACATCGAGGATATAGGGAGGTCCATTGGCTCCCGCTCTCCCGCCAGTGATGATTGTTCCTCCCCTGGCTGCTTGGTCAAAATGCTGTTCTGTTCCCAGCTCAGCCGGACCCATCTCCTGCGAGGACGTGTAGCCTAGTTCGAAGAGCTTGTCTATGTTCTTGGTTGGCGGCGGCACCGCGTCGTACCCATACACGGAAATCATGACGGGGGCCGTCTTGAATGGGAGGGTGCTGTTGACATTCTTGACCAGCACGTGGCCCGCAATCGCCCCCTGAAGGGTGCTGTGCCTGGACTTGGGATCACGAGCGTCGATCTTGTCGTGTGGGAGGGTCAGGTTCGCCATGCCGATTCCAGGCGTGGGGAAGTTGTTCCTGTCCTGACCGACTAGGTACCAGGCCGCCAGGATTCTGGCGAGGAAGACAGGTCAGCCGCTATGCAGGTGGAGGGGAGTGAGAGATTCAGCCGCATGTCGGGCTGGGACTGACCTCTTCGCCATATCCGTCACACGTTCCTCGGTGATGGTGCCGTTGCTGACGTAGTCTGTCAGGTTCTGGCCAAAGCTCCCACCGAGGGGCATGACCATGTCCAGACCAGCATTCGCACTCGAGGTTTGGTGGATAGCATTCCAATCAAGCATGACGAATCCTTGGAAGCCAAGCTCGCCCTTGAGAATGCCGTTGAGCGTGTGGTCATCGTCGCAGGCATACGTGCCGTTGACGCGCTGGTACGAACACATTACGGAAGCGACGCCGACGCGAAGGCTCTCGACGAAGGGCCACAGATAATACTCGTGGAGCGTCCTGTCGTCGATGTTGGAGGAGACGGCCTCGACCCCAAAGTACGGGCGACGATACGTCTCTTGCTCGTTACCGATGAAGTGCTACCTCTTACTCAGTCTTTTTCGCTCTCAGCCGGTACACGGAGGGCGTCGGTGGGACGGCCTACCTTGATGGTCGCGATGACACCGGCATCCTGGTGGCCACGGACCGACTGAGCATTCAACTTGCCAGACAGGTAGGGGTCGACGCTGAAGCCCTCCCAGTTGCGGCCGCCCAGGGGACTGCGGCCGAGGGGACCGGCATTGGGGCCCAGGATGACATTGACTGCCACGATTCAGCATCGATCGCCCGCCTGGAGAGTGGGGGGGGGGGATATCTCACCTCCCTTGGCCTTGAACTCCCTGCCCATGTACCACGCCCTCTGGTACGCCAGGTCCTTATCCCAGGACGCGCCGACATGGAGGCCTGAGGGGAAGGAGCTGACGAGATCGGTGGCCCTGACGCCGTTTCCAGCATCGTGCAGGCACATTCCCGGCCATTGTAGACGAGGCACCGTGCCCGTCATGCCGGCACATGTGGTGTCAGTCTCAAAACCTCGGGTGATGTTGATCTTCTCCTCCAGCGTCATCTGATCCACGAGGACTTTGGCTCTTGCGTACGCCTCGTTCCATGTCCGTCTATCCTTTGGTGGCTCTACCGTATTTCATTTTGTTTTTGTTTTTTTCATGGTGAAAGTCAGCCCCCCACAAGATGTTGAGGTTACAACTCTTTCCAGAGTCTGGGCGGCACTCACGTATCGCATTCTCGTAGACGGGGAGCGGTGAAGCACATGCCGCGATGGCGGGACCGATAAAGACCAGTAGCAGCAGTAGAAGCGTACTGCCGCCGACGTGATTAGGAGAAGCTATCGGTGACATGATGCGTCTCTCATCACCCTTGTGTGGTTGAAGTGGTCAGGATGAGAGAGAAGAGAGGATGGATCTGAGAACATGTTTCCTCGCGAGGAGAGGGAGTGGGGGGAGTCCTCGCTCTCCATCATGCCGACGCTTCCCAATAGGCATTGCATCATTACCAGCAATATCTGGGTCCCTTGACTCGTGCAAGGGACAGGGATGGGTAAAGGCTTCCTTATTAGACGGACAGGTCCTGATCAGGTTCACACCGCTATCGCTTGCATTCTCCTATCCTATCCGACTCCCCTCTTCTTCTCTTCAACTTCCCACCTTTTCTGAGTGAGATAGATAAGTGAATCAATAAATAGAAGACATAAAATTAAACTTATTTTCAAGGTTGGTGGACTGTCTTCTAGTCTTCTGAGTCTTGCATCGGCGCTCTCCAGCTCTCACAACCTCCACTTCCCCCCTTCACCCCCGCAACCCGCACCCACTCCCGCACCCACTCCCCCCCTCCCCCCCTCCCCCCCTCGTTCCTGACCATCCGGGGATGGCGTAGGATGGCTTGCATTTTGCTGCCATCTACTATGTCTTTATATACCGCAGATTACGGGCCTTGACATGTACATCCCCACACAGTGGGTGAGAGATTTACTGTGTGTGCTGGTTCCCGACGGGGAGTTGCGTTTATTCAACGTTGTCGTTGCGAAGTAATAATGATATCTCAACGTCAACATTGACCCAACGGCTCACATGGTTGGCTCACTCAGCGGTCAGATCTAAGGGTCCCGAGGCATTGGCATATTCATTCGGTCCAGAAGAGGTAGACGAGACTTTTTTTTTTTCGCACGGTACTACTATTCACCAACGTCTCCTCTGGATCGGACGAGGACAGAAATTGTTTAACGATAGTACGATGTCTCTTAGGAGATGGTCATGGCGAGTTGTCAAGCCGGATCAGAAGATGGGTTACCATCAGATATCAGCATATCCCATAAATCATACAACAAGCAAGACAACCCCATCGGCCTAGGGGCAGATATATATACATATATATATATATATATATGTGTGTGTGTGTGTGTGTGTGTGTGTATGTATATATGTATGTCATCTTGTAACCCGCTAGGCCTAGGGATCTGAGCGAATCAATCCCCATCCCCATTAACTGGCAGTGACATTCCATGGTCTATGCGAAGACGAGGTGCGGGGATGGGACGGGACGGGACGGGACAGGGCGGAACGGAACGGAACGGGGCGGGACGGGTTGATTCGGCGCCACCTCTAGCTGATGCAGTCAAGTTGTAGAGGATGCGCGGAGAAGAAGCGGAATGGTACAGGCGTGGTGGCAGATGCCATGTCAGATGACAGTATTGCCCTGTCTTGCACGCCATCGGAGCCACTATCAAGGTCAAGGCCCATCCATTCTATAGCAAGCCGGACTTGCGATAGACAGGAGCCGGGTTTTAGGTCCCGGTACCATCCGGTTGGGCCGAGACAGCCTCGTCGGCCTTGTCGGCATTCTCGTCGGCGTCCAGGGTCTGCTGTATCCTCTGGCTGGGCAGCCACTTCTCGGCGGGTATGAACCACCAGGAGGCGAGGGCGAAGATGGTGGTGCCGGCCATGATGATGGGGGCGTAGTTGAGGGACTCGCCCGTGACCGGGAAGACGTAGGGAGAATACAGGACGGCGACGACCCAGCCGTTCCAGAGGACGGCGATGGCCTGGAACGGCTTGCTGAGCCGGCCTAGGCTCCAGGCCGGCTTGGGGAAGCGCTTGGGCGTCAGGAGCAGGCGCGACAGGGAGATGAGGCCGTAGGCCGCGGCCGAGGGCACGCCGGCGGCCGACACCAGCGACGTGAAGGCCACGGCGGATGGGAGGATGGTGCAGGTGATGATGGCCGCCACGCCCCAGACCACCAGGACGGCGTTGCGGGGCTGGCCGTCGACGACGCGAGAGACCCACGACGACCACGGGAGCACGCCGTCGCGCGCGACGGCGAACACCAGCCGTGAGGCGGCGAGCACGGCGATGGCGGTGTTCTGCCAGTCAGCCATGAGAATTAGTATAAGATAAGGAAGAAGAAGACGGAACAGGAGAGAG